AGTTTAATGTTGGAGAAGTAATTTGAAATATATGAAAAAGATTCTTATTTTCGCAGTTTTAGAAATATAACCCAAGCACGTTTAAAAAAAAAAAAAAAATCATGCTTTTGAAATTCTTACTGGGCATTGCTGCTCCTGCTGCTTCTTGTCATAAACGATGAAGGTGATGCTCATAGTCTTGCTTCTGGAGCAGCCTGAAAGATTTGACAATAACTTAAACTACACAGCTCCAAAAGCTACCTAAGTTCTCTGCGATGTGTATCTATATCAGATACACATAAAATTTTATTTTTCTGATTTTTAAATATATCATTGGCCCTTTTTCGTTTGCTTGCAGAAGGCATTATGTTTTGATTTATTAAATATTTCTGTCTCCACTTCATGCATGAAATGATCCCATTTCTTTCCTCCCGGCTTCTCTCTCTGATCATAGACACATCAATGTTTTTCTGACACATTTTACTGTTTCCTGCCCCAGCTGACTCTGCGTTATTCTAGGGGTGGCAGCCACCCATCTCACTCTCTCTGTCCCTACTAGGTGGCAGTGACCTTATTTCTTCTTTCCTTTGCTCTTCCCATACCTCCCCTCACGGCTTCTCTTGAACTGCCTCACTGGGTTAATGCAATGGTTCAACGTTGAGCCATTGTACTCCACGTCTACTCCATGTGACGATTTCTTTATGTCTGAAATGCAGCTGGCAGAGCTCCACGCTGCTGGTCTAATAAATGGTGGTGCTTCTCCTTGCAGCCTTGCCTTGCTTATGTCCTTCGACCACCACGGCTATAACAAAATTGGTCCTGCTTTCCTAGTTAAACTGCAAAGTCCAGAGCAGAGTCTCTCGTGATGTGTGTTGGAGCAGAATCTGCCTTAGTGCATTGAGCAGTGCTTCTTTTATCCACCTCTGTTTCATACAAGCATTTTTTTAGGCAGAAACTGTAGGGTCTGACTTTGGATAAATTTGAAGGTAAATATGCATTGACTTTGCTTATATGTCAGGATCAGTATGTTGGCAAATTGGATGTTATAAATGGTATCAGGCAGCCTTCTTCCAGCAGATCTGCAGCCCTGTTTCACTGAGGGCCCTGATCTCCACAGTTCCTGGATTTTGTAATTTTAGCAGATTTGTAAATGCACAAAATGTCTGGGTTGGAGAAGCTCTTTTAAATAACTCGGCTCATAGTATGTAAAGTAGCTTTAATAATGAGATTGAATCCTTCATCATTCAAAAATACAGAAGCCTGCCTTTCTTTTCTGTAGTAAAATACAGTAAATAAAGACAAAGAAACTCTGGTGAATAAATTGACCTTCAGATTTGACAGACTTGGTAAACTGCACCTGGAAGGCTGAAGAGATAACTTGTTCATTATTGCTTA